TTCTTCATATGCTTGTGTTACGATTGTCCTGCCTAAAATACGTGTTAAGTGTGAGGAAGATCAAATCAAAGTTACAATGCCTAGCTAAGCTTGGGGCCTACTTGAAAGAGATGGAACGCTTAGTCCTTTCTTCAGAGTCATATGCCGCAAGTGTTTATGCGTAAATGTGCCACCATCCAGTAAAATAGTTTCATCTTTAGTAACTCGTAACGAAGACTCAAATTCGCTACATAAATTTCTGAAAAGGCGGCTTGAGCCCCTACTAAAGTACGTACGGCAGGACCCCTGTGCGGGTCAGAATCCGAAAACTAACAAAATCAAAAAAGCGCACGAGCTTATGCCAAGTTTTTCTCCCGCGCGCTCTGTTATCTAACCTTGTTCAGAAGTCGTGTTGATGTGTATCATAAGGCTCGGACACTAGAAAACTTATGGATACAGGTTACAAGATCCCTATTACCAAATCCTAGATTTCAGTCGCCAATCTTTTCTACGTACCACAAGTGTCGCTTTGTGATCTTACGCCGCCCCGAATAGTCATTGGACTAAAAAAATGGTTTAGACTTGGCCAGCCCTGCTAAATCTCTAAGAGACATTTTTGGGAAGATTTCATTCAAGTCTTAAAGAAGAAAAAATGAACGTTCAGCGTCGAACATTGTAGGAGTTGCAGTGTCATAAGCTAGTGAGAATTGCATTGTAGTGGTCAGTACAGCCCTAAACCTATAGGGCCTTTCCTTTCCCACCAGTATCTTGACCCATCCAATAGGCTAGATGCCGACCGTTTTCAAGTCCTGATCCTAAAACGACTACAACGTCATTTATTTGATGGCATCTTCAACCCCCATCGAGCAACCATCAAAGCGGACAAAAGCAACCAGCAGTAGTAGTAGCTGCTCATCCGGTCGTAACTGTTAAACAGCAAAGAGGACCCGCTTAGAGAATCCATCGAGAGTCCCGTTCTGCTCGGCAGAGCGATTTTTGAGAACCTCATCCAACGCGACTTCGCCAGCAACTTTCCGTTGCTACTGACGCTACTCCCTTCTATGCAGTATTACCATGCTAGCAGTAATAAAAAGAAAGACGGAGGAATCTACGCCCTAGGAGCTCCACAGCCGCGGAGAAAAAAACTTCTACGATACGACCATTCGAAGTACATCAGCTAAAAATTCGACGTATAGATATTAAGGCTTCTCACTGTCAGAGTGGCCACAGAAAAGACAGCCGAAGGCGAACACTTATTTGCATGATGGTCACCCAAGGGTGTGCATACGACAGTTACAAGGGTGACTACGTCGATGTGTAAAATATAGCTTCTTCTGTGTATCTTTCTACTAGTCTTTCGCTCGAATAGTTGTTTCCTAATTATTGTTTTGCCAGTGAACGTTACACAAGTGTCTATGTATTCTAATTTTATAACAATAGATAATTATATGTTACGCTCCAATGGTAAGCGTATAATAGGATAACTGACACGTGTATAGACATGTGATTACACATAAAATGTCATAGTATATAAACTTCCCATAACATAGGGCCGTTATTTATTCTACACAAATCGTTCCTGTTGAAGAACTTAACCCACAATATTACCTGGTACAACACAAAGTTTATCATTTGTCACAGGCAAAAGGGTGCACACAGAACAACGCGGGACTGGTGGCTGAAGAGATCATGAGGAAGGCAGACTATTTAAAACGGACATGAAACGTGTCAAGCTTCTGGCATGACTCTAAATCGGTTCAAACACTTAAGGAGGAAAGTCAGTAGCACTTGCTTGCGAAAAGTAGGGGTCTCCAAATAAATATATAAAGAAGCATGCCATATATACATACCTGTTTTTGCTACATTGTTAAAGGGTAATATTTGTATGCCAGAAATCCTAGCTGCCGAGTAAGAATCTATAACGAGTTTGTTCAATCTATTCAACGAATCTAGCGATAAGCTGAGTGGAGCACGTCGACATCCAAACATTTGCTCTAATCGAAGTCACTGATATCATTCGACAAAGGGCTTCGAATCCACTGATCATCTAGTGTCCGTCCCTATGTCATCGAAAAGCAAACCTGATACGTTCTTGTCGTTGTGACAGGAGCTGTCTGCGGGTTCCCCTCATCGGAGAAGAACCCTCAGATAGTCGCGGACATAATATAGATCGGTAGACGCCGTCTCTCTAACATGACTCGACAGCAAAGCTCCTCGTGATTCTTCTTGCCCTTCACCCTTCGTAAGGGAGCATTTTTGCCTGAGATTTTACTGAATGGGACTTGAAAATAGCGCAAATAAAGATGCACAAACGAGAGGACTGATACAGATCAGACCTAGGACGGGGCTTTCTTATAAAACTGAAGTTTTCTTAGTGTCGACTGTAACGTAATGCACTTTTTGTTGGTAGCTATGCTATATAAGGCAATATATTACTATATTTGTGCTAGCTCATATGAAAGCTGATATAAGAAGTCACAGACGCCAGTTGTAACAACAAAGCGTCAATACTTATTGAACAATTTACAAACAAGATTCCTTCTAAAGTCCAACCCCTAGTTAGATAGCTGTTTTGAGTGGCTCGTTTATTTTTCGATCAGACAAGCTTGCACTTACTTACAACAGATCAAAGTGATCTGTTATTATAATATTGGAGGAGCTTGTCGATTATAGCTCGAACTCAGTTGCGCATTAAAGGTCAAAGCTCACAAGTCGATGAACTATTTTCACTAGAACGCTATGGCGGTCAACTCAATGAAAAGTATTTGGCGACCATTGAGCAACTGATTGCTTAGTATTGTATGTCGCCCAACCATCTTCCCTCCTACCATTCTCTGGTATGTCACAACGCTCAATAGGTATGAAACGCAGCTACGTATTATAGGTGACTGCTCTGTTTGCAAGCCGCTCCATATACTAACTATTTACAAGCAAATTAAGCTAATCATTGAAAGGTGTACTAGCAGTTCTCAGAGAGCAGTACAGTACCGCAACGAATTCAACGCCTGCGCTCTTCAAGCTCTCAGCTTGCGATACTCGTCACAGGGAAAAGAAGATGGCAGAGAAACGTTGATCAAGATTGACCCTAAGCTCATCGATTTCATTTCATTGTTTATTTACGGTTTATTTGGGAAGCCAAGAACGATTGGCACTTCCACAACGTCACTCTTTGGTAACGAATCTACCATGTCACAAGTGGCTTGTAGTTCGTATGAATTTACGGTGGTCCAACTTGCAACTTGCAAAAGCGAGCAATGAAAATACCCTGGTTGGCCCATTACTCGATTGAATCTTTGTAAAGTTACTCAGTCGGATATACAAGTAAGTTTATCAACTCGAAATTTTCAAACGTCCCTCCTTCGTACTGCTAGTCAAATTACATTTCAGTACATAGAACAGTCGTGCGCAAAGGCATCGATTCCACAGATTGGATCATTTCAGCCCACAGTAAAATGGGCTAGTCTCTTATCCATGTAAGTACCTAACAATATGTGCCCAGTTGGTAGATGTACGTAAGCCAATTGCACGTCTAAATTCCGCTAAATAGCCTTGAATTATTTGAAGAAATTCCGGCCACGGAGATGGGCAAAAAAGAACGTTACAGGAAAATACCTTCTTGCAGCTCTAATTATTTGCAAACTAATACTGTACGAAAGCGTACCTTTCTGTTCTGCAAACTCCATTTCCCGTATGTGCATCACCGTATATGTACGAGCCTTCGTAGGAACTATTTCGTAATAAGCGATTTATTGCACGTCTATCTGTGATAGTCTCTAATCGTATATACATTGATGCATCTACGTACTATGTATAGCTCAGTAATAATCAGCCGATAGAAAAGGTGGCGGCGACAAGCAGAGGTACGTTGTTCTCACCCCTTTTTATAGCTGCACAAAGGCCATATCAGCGGAACAGGATGTTTAACATCGATTAAACAGGAAGATCAACGACATCGAGGCCGAGGACGCCACCAGATAAAGTGCCTCTGTAGTCTCTGAACTTGTTGACGGCGTCTTTAGAAGTAGAAATGTAGCTTTCGCAGACTATTTGAATATATATATATATATATGTATATATACTGCGCATAGAATTGAGAAATTATCAAATATAAACAAATCCTTGCAGTCCTTGCAGGTGGTGTTTGCCTTTGAAAGTATACGGGTTTTTTAATGGCCTAGTTCAATTTGACTGCATCAACGATTAAAAACTTACTACAGTTTAGATTACCTAATGAGTTATACCTTAAATTCTCTATGACTACTATACACTTATCGGTCGGTAATATATTTGGAGAAGAAAATAGAAGCCAAATCATATTTTGCTTTTATCTACCGAGGCTAAATCAATCAGTCACGATAACCTAGCGTGTCGGTCCAGGCCGGGAAATGTTTTAGGTTCGGTCAATACTTCACGATGCACCCCTAGCATCGTCTTGGCAAGCAGGCATTAACCCGAAGCTTATGACAGCCATCTCTTAAGCGGATTATTTCACTTGTATATATACACTTATGTAAATTAATTATTAGCTTATATAACTATAGTGTCCAATACTCCATACAGTTTCACCATTCTCTTTCATCAGTACAACACGTTTGCTGACTTCGCGAAGTTCATAATGTTTGCGAAGCAACCATGTAACTGTTTCGTTAAATGTTCCCGAGATACAGTATTTTCACTTTTCGAGAATTGATTTACGATGTCGCTGATGGTGATGATACACTCGACAACGAGGATGAGTCAAATTATGATGATCTGGATCTTACTTCGCACTTCTTTGCGCGATCGACTGATATAGTGATGGAGTGGCAATAACAGGTGAGGAAACAATCCGGTCCATTATATATAGCAGATAGATACCGGTTACACCAGATAGGCAGGTCAGAAGATACCGACCTAGCACGACGATGAATTGAGGTAGTTCTAAAGTATTGTGCACAGCAAGATACACACTGCAGCGCTCTACTAAGCTCTGAACGAGAAGGCTAAACCGCGGGGGCGGCAGATACCTATCAGGTACTTACTTGACGCGATCGGTAAATCGCGTTCGTGCGACGGCGATGACACGGACGTATTTGATGACGTTTCGGCGACGGTCCATGAATGCGCTAAACACAAAGAACTTGTCGCCGACGTTTCCAATTGGCTGCCAGTGGTCAGTCCGTGCCTCACTGCAAAAACGGAGGACAGATCAAGTGTTATAAGAAACAATTAAATAACGACGAGATACAACACAAAGAAATATTCATGGCATAAGTTACTTTCGATTGCAACTTTACTGCGCTAAAGAAGGTAGATTATTTATACCTATGTATATACAGATATACTCAGCAGTGTCTAAACAGTGCTAAATATTTACCCTACCATCTTTTATAGTTAGCGTGTAAATAAACCATTATTTTAATTTATCGTTGCCGATGTTTGCGAATGACTCCTTATGAAAACATTATTTAATCTCGATTTCGGGCCACCCCTAAAGCTTTATCGTCTTTTGATTGCGAGGTATGCTATCCCGAATATTAACGAAGTATAGTATACAACTGAATCGTTGTTACCTACCCTAGAGGTCTGGGGCTGAAGAGGTCAACTAGTTATAACATAGGCCGCATCTCAAGGCAACCTTATGAGCAACTCGATTTCGTAGTTATTTAATAGCGTCAATTCGTTTCCTCATAAGAACAATGAAACCGTTATAAATGCTAATGTAAATCGTGGAATTTTCAATTATAGGCCATCTAAAAGTGAGACCAACGATAGCAGACTCTGACCTAGTTATTCAGTTCGATTGAGTTGGATTAGATTATCTAAAAGATCGGAAAGTAAGCTCTTCTTGTGTAGATTTTTTTTATTCTGAGAGTGTGTAGCCATACACTTCTGAATTGAAACAACCACATTGTTGATATCACATCATCAGAGCAACCCTCTGAATTAACAAGGTACCGCTATTGCTCAAACCATTTGACACAGAGCTGATGCCGAACCCCGGCTGGAAATACATTTCTTATACTAAAAATAAAAATACTAAAAAGAACAAAAACAAGGCAGGAATTTTATGCGCGTGCGAGAGCCATGCGCCTCTAGAACTGCAGGTGCAACATTGAACTATTTAAACAGCCTCGTGGGGTCTAGTTTACTCCCACCAGAGTCACAGTTGATAGGCTTCGAGGTAGATGCTGGTAAATTTTACCCGATGATTTGAAAATAATGCTCAGTTTTAAATCACTATAACAAACTGTGTTACTGTAGATGTGCCTTTGACGAACCTCTGTTGATTAGGGTTCAGGAGCGATTTCGATGGTAAGTAAGCTACGTAATAATCGACTATGATTTCTTAAGCTAAGCTAGGTATGAATGTTTGTGTTCTACTGAATATTCAATGCCTCCTCTGTAGACTTACGTGGTTAGTGAAAGTTCAGAGAGATTGGTCAGATCCTTCCTTGAAATGTCGAATCAATATTATGCAGAGTAGCTTAGCAAGAGGGTTTATAAAGCTTTTACAGAAGATGGATTCATACAGGGTGGTACTGCATTTGGCAGGTCAAGTTTTTAAGTTGTCGGGGATATTTTAGTCGAAATAGAGATGGTGTTGAAGTTTCTCGTAAGTAAGCTACTTTTCAACCTTAGGGCGCACTGATACCGTCAAAAAACTCAATAACGGCTACCAAACGACAGCTCTATGACAGAAATATATTATTATTAATTAATCTGTCACTATTTGCAAATCTGACAGGTTCGACAAGTTACTGTGCATTAAAGGACAAAAAAAAATTATACTATTAATCGGCCAGAGTTTGTTGACATTTAAGCAGGCGTCTAGGGAAAATCGCGAACCAACCTAATGGTTCTCTCCTGCTCGGAGTCCCCATGATCGTAACTGCTCATCGAGACCGCCTGGATCCACTTGGGACGGTGGACCAACGGTGACACTCGCAAGCTGGGTGGCGAGATCAGGAACCGTCGATATGTTGAAGAAGTCTCTCTGGCTTTATGATGTCGACGGCTTATGGTTTGATATGCGGTCAGAAGGAGATTGGCGGGAGAATTTTTTTCGAAACCCCGTGTACGGGGACGGTGACAGGCTGTGAGAGGGACCCAGCTTCGTGTTTGTTACAGAGCTTGAATATAGATCTGTAATGGTGAAACTGAGCGAACGAGAAATCATGTTTGCCACCTCTCCAAGTCCATTGTCATTGAGGTGAATGTCATCGCGCTCCATGTCACCTCTCTCACAGAAGCGTTGAATCCTTTTTCCTGGGGTACCGGCTGCAACGATCTATCAACCCTGTTGATACTGCTTCATAAGAAAGTAATTTGGAACGTGTCTGTGACGGTTCAGAGCGAACAGACACTTAAATGAGCACCTTTATCATGACACAAATGGCGAAGCTTTCAGTGTGGTCACAGAAATCACTGACTGCAAGTTGATTTTCTGTGAAATTCAGCACCCATGTTTGCCGTCGACCGTAGGTCTACTTTTTTCGTCTTACCGCATTGGGCGTATGCGTGCTAAGTCACACAAGTTCCTTGCCTGACGAGACCGCTGGGTGTATTTACGAGGGCATTCTGCCGAAACTCAAATTATGATGATAACTGCTTTGTAAATCGGTTTGTGGGATGAGCTCGGCGAAGCAGTAAATGTCAACGTATTTAAATACTGAATGTGACGCAAAGGCGCAAATACTGATAAAACTAAGTTGGAGGAACTAGTCGTATTTCAGTAAGAAATGATAAGTTTTTCCACTTGTCTATCTTCGTAAGCAACAGCTTGATCAAACACTGCCGTAGTTCCAGTGTTTTGGACTATGATATCTTTTATCGCAGAAAGCTCACCTATACGAAACCACTATTGCCGATCGCTGCGCTCCTGGTTTTACGTATTGCCCTAATTACTTTTGAAACGGCCGTGCAATGAGTTGGACAAGCTTGTTGAGCTTTAGACATGCTGACAGCCTTTGCTTAGGAGACCTCAGTAAAACGTTATGCATGTCCTTGTGGAAAAAGAAGTAGTCCTTCATAGTTTTTGGAAAGTATCTCATCAGGAAGCTACTTTGAGTCCACTTGATCAAAAGCGAATTGTGAGAGAAGTGTGGGAACTTCGTTAGAGGACAGTGAGGCACAATGCTTCTTTATCACCCGCTCTTCACACGCGGTTTCGTTGTGAAGTCTCGATAGGAAATCGATTTTAATATTCGTGCTTGCGGACGTTTAGTCACCCATAGCGACAATTGAGCTAATCGAGGCATTGATTGAAAGTGTGACTGAAGTGTACGAATTTGAACTGATCACCCAAAGATACTATTGAATTGAATGAATACGGCCAAATGAACGAATACGGCCACCGTAATATAGTCTCTCTCTAGAACTATACGATGTACCTGCAGCAGCCCCCACAATATATTATATGAGACGATTCCGTTTAGTGCACAAGAAGCCGAACGAGATTCGATGCAGTTCTGAAGTCAACCTAATTTTCAGAAGCAAACATTTGCATTCAGCTGAAGTCGAACTCCGCATTGAATAAGAGGCCCTATGAAGGACAACACTTACGGAGGCAAATGTTCCTACAAGCTATTTTATTATTTGTTGTACAGAAAGGCTCAAAAATTACCGCACTGTAGTTGAAAATTGTTCATGTCACGTCTATTCAAGTAGCAGAAAGTATAAAAGTTGTTGCGGTAAAGAGCAAATTTAACCGAACAATTTTCTAGTATCGGCCTAATAACAGGAGGGCCTAATACTACTTATGTTGTACTGTGACAGTTACGACAATGACTACTGCAGTCTAAACGACTGTGATTTTGTTCAGTAATATCGTAACAGTCTGATGTATATCCGGAAATGGTTACGCAGCTAAATGCATTCTGCAATGATAAGCGTACGCCGTATCTGTTTAACAGATGGATGTGTCCAGAGGCTTTTTTAAAACTATTAGGAGATTTCTGTTCCACCTTACATATTTTTCTAGTTCTCACTTTTCCAGGAACGATTTGTCCATGATAGCTATATGTCAACCAACGCACCCTGATTCTAAATTACTAAAGGACTAAATTTGTGAGTACTGCTCTGTCCTATTGTCATCTGTGCTTTGCTAATGCGAAGATCAAACCGAATGATGTCATTGATATCAAAGATAATTTAGTTGTTCCCACCCTTGTCGAAACTATAATAACGTGGTGCTCCACTCGAGTCGATAGCTTCACTCTACGAGGGTTTGCTACTCTACGAGGGGTACATGGCTAAACATATATATTACCATGTAAACAACGAGGTTTGAGTATGTTATACACTACTACTACTGAACATTCGGGTATTGAATTTGATATGAATCGAATCAGAGTGATTCAGATACGCGTTTGATGCAAATGTCTTCCTCGGGTACGTAAGCTTACTTGTCAACAGACGACATTCTATACTGATCTAGGTGGTGCGAGCAGTTCACTTAGTTGCACAGTGTACAAGGCTGCTACTAAAACTTCGAGCCCTGTCTTTGTGAGGTCCTATCCTCACATATAGTATAGTAAAAAGAATATACGAAGAAGAATGTAGTTTTCGCAATAATATTTCGCGACAGACAAATCTACCTGAGTAGTTCAGGTCCTTTAATTCGAATCGAACCCAAGTTCGATGTCCCCGAAAACTTCATAAATATTTGTTTATGTCTGAGTTTTTGTGATCAGAGGTACATCTTCAAGCGACACGACTTGCAGCAGAAAACTCGGCAGAACCTCGAAAATGGAGATAAGAGGCTATACCAGCTCTATCGAGAATATTCCTATATGACTGGTCTCGCGCCCAGCCGTACTTGGAATAACGCGAGCCCAAAATCTGTGATAGCTTTTGTTATCTCATCACGATATAAGCTAATAGTTATCATTGCCTAGTGAAAATCAGGCTAAGCGAAGTCCTACTCATTGAGCTAGACACCTGCACGTCCATCATATAGTACTTTGTATTATCTTAGACACCAGACTGTCACAAAGGCTATTACGGTCCCTGAAGTATAAACGTATGCATTTGACATATTCTAATGAGATGTATTGTAGAATCAAAATTAAATATCGGTCATTAGTGGTGGTTAACCAAGGTACAAATTTTTCGGATCAGATGAAACAATCTTTATTAACTTTGTATTTTAGCCACAGGATGCTTCCGGCAGATGAAAGGTAGATAC